GTGAACGACACCGGTGACAGCACGCGGTCAAGCGCGGCAGGATGGCACCGGCTGGGAGCGCCCTCCCCAGCAGCACTGCACCCGCTCAGGTGATTTTTATCCGTGTGTATAAGCTCACCCCATCCCTCTGCAGGAGGCTGCATGCGCAGGGGGAGCCCCCCCCCCAACAAATTCATAGCCGAGCACTTGTTCTCTCCAGTGCTCGCACATTTATTCATATTTCACCTCCCACTGCTCTGTGCAATATGTCACAGTCAGAGGCGCAGTATGTACCTTGCGGTATTTATTACAAAGAGACATCATACTGTCACCATGGAATGTAAGCTAATAGGAGAAAATGAGGTTTTTACAAATTGGCTTTATCAACACATTTATTTTTGTGACTGCTGTTGGAGATACAAGGGGTTCGAGTGTAAAACAGCATTGGCAATTCACAGAGAAGGGTTTTAACACCTCATCGAGGATGATGGGGGCTTCTCAGATTTAAATGTTTTAAAATTTCTATAGGGAATGATACTGCAGAAATCGGAGCTAAATCATATACTTTAATTAAAAGCATTAGAACACCAAATCAAGGTTTAGTTTTCACAATATGTATTTTAAATGTTACATTTAAATGTTATTCAGAAGAACACTGTAAATAAGTTACAAAATATAGTAATCCAAGAGTCTGAAAATCTATAGTAAAAATAGGGAGCCTGTGTCTTGATTAAAAATGAATAAATAGAACATTTAAATAGCTGCAACATACCAAATACTTATCTCATGCCTTAAATAAAAAAAATAGATGTTTATATCTCTCTCAATATTTTAGAAGTCATTTAGTGCTACTGGAAGCTTCTGAATTACAAAGCTGGAGGCTGACAAATATACAGGATAGAAAATGACAGCAAAGCATTCACGACACTACCTTAAGACGTGGCCTCCACGTTCTGCCTGAGGCCTTACAGAAACTAGTTCAGACTTCGTCATTTTGGGCAACGGCAGGAAAAAGAAGTCACCAATTTTAGGACTGAGTTGACAGTTGAGGGGAAGATAAAGGGACTGTACTGTATCCCCTAAAAACTGGGATATGATAGCGTCAATCAGAAAGAACCAGACCCTGATACCCACTCCCCCAGCACGCAATCATTTAGGCTGCCAGCTTCGAGACAGTGTACTATACACAAAATAGATGTAGGGCAATTCTCTAATACCACGTATTATTTTTTTCCTCAAGAACCCCTCGATATGAGGTTTGTAGCTGCAGTACACAGGCCACCACCAGGACAGAGATTTCAGTCATCTTCCCATTACTCCTTGGGCTTCATCACGTACTCCCGAAACATTGAATACAGCACACCTACAAGACAGAAATACAAGCACAATTAGAAAGCTGGGTTAAATAGCACATAATGGGTTTCAAAATCTGAACAACAAGTGATATTCTGAGCAACAGAAATAACATTTCCCTTCCTCTTCTGCTGTATTTATTTTATTTTTTTTTTAATAGCAGTGACGAACACTACAAAATTCTTCATATACAGAGAAAGTGGATAGGAAAATACACTGTATCTGAAAATGGAGATCCCCAGCCAATTCTAGTTGGCTTTGCAGCCAAAGTCAAGCTTTTCTGTTGTACCTTCCGGGAATACAGTATAGACAGCGTTTCGTGGGATATACATTTACACACGTACACAGCTGCAATACTTAGGTGAGACCTGGGACGTACAAACCAGTACATTCAGGGACACAATTCCAGTCCTGGAAATAATACCCCGGGCTATGCGAGCTGACTCTCCAACGCATTGAATTCAGAAACAGCAACGCATTTACAAGGGAAAATATTAACATCAGATAGTCCTTTTTTTTAGTTTGCCTCTAATTTCAACACCTACAGAACCCCACGTATTTCCCACATCTAAAAGTAGTCAAAACCTCTACTCTCGAAGGTAGCGTGGTTTAGTATTGAATATGTGTACTTAAACGCCACGTTACTCTAGAAAGCCTGAGCAAACACCAGTAACGAGCATAAACATCCTGAAATATAATGGCCTAGAGACTTCCACCCCGAGGACGTTTCATGCACCCTGTATTACGCGCTAGGAGAGAGATGCAGGAGGTTCTCCGTGGTTTGCCAGTGCCGAGGACAGCCTCCTGCTCGGTACGTACCACACGTTATCGCTCCCACGACGAAGCCCTGGGCTGCTACGCGCATGTGAATCAGGTGAAGCGACATTTTCATGTCACCTCTGTGCTTCAGTCTGTACAGCCCGTAGCCAACCACCATGGCGAAGCCAGCCATCCCTACAAGGCAAGGAAAGCACCCTTGGGAGTTGAGATCCAAGTCATCGAGCTGTGTGAAGTGACCCACCTAAACAAGGTATCTTGGGAATAACCACGTTTTGATCTCATCACTCTGGTTTTGTGTAGATGGCAAGTCCTGGCCTGTCTACTGTTTCCACTCGAGTGCCATCTCATTCAATGCACAAGTCAGTGCAGAGAACAGCGAGAGATTTCCACTAGTGTTAAAATGCAACAGCAGCAACGCAAGGGTCTAGAGCGCAAGTCCTATGAGGAGCGGCTGAGGGAGCTGGGGTTGTTCAGCCTGGAGAAAAGGAGGCTCAGGGGAGACCTTATTGCTCTCTACAACTACCTGAAAGGAGGCTGTAGCGAGGTGGGGGTCGGTCTCTTCTCCCAAGTAACTGGCGAAAGGACGAGAGGAAATGGCCTCAAGTTGCGCCAGGGGAGGTTTAGATTGGACGTGAGGAAAAATGTCTTTACTGAAAGAGTGGTTAAACATTGGACCAGGCTGCCCAGGGAAGTGGTGGAGTCACCATCCCTGGAAGTATTTAAAAGACGGGTAGATGTGGTGCTTAGGGACATGGTTTACTGGTGGACTTGGCAGTGCTGGGTTAACGGTTGGACTCGACGATCTTAAGGGTCTTTTCCAACCTAAATGATTCTACAGTTCTAAGGTGTCAGAGTTTTTGGATATTTTTCAGAAAGCACACATGCTGCTTGCACCCTCTTTCCTGGAAGGAAGCTCACACCCAAGAACACCGCTCGGCTGCAGCTGGGACACTCAGTGTGTGGCTGCACCCCGACGCACCCACCGGCCTGCTGAGGTTGCTATTTTGGGTGTTGTCACCTGGGTGTGGCCTGCTTTCACTGGGACAGGACAAGTTATACGTTACTTGTCCCGCGCTGTGGGGAGAGAGGTTCAGCAAGGTCTCTTTCACGGGGCTGGAGTTCACTTTTAGTCCTTCAGCAGACCGAACACAGCCCCGGCTGTGCCAATTGCAACCTGATGCTCTCACAGAATATGATTATTTAGGGTGATTATTTACATAGATCAAAGGAAGCTACCAAGTTTTAAGTGCTGCGTATATTTTACTGCTGAGAGCCCAGACAGCTTGTCTCCCTGAAGAGGAGTGTCACCAATTCCACTTGTGAAGCTATAAACCCGTACTTCACTGGTGCATGATCCACGTGGTAGCTTCCTTAAACACCACTTAAGAGTTTTACGGCCTTCGAACTAGCTCCGACACAGGTTGAAGGTAAGTTCTGCCGATCTGCTTGGGAGAACCCAGATTTGTGGAGTCTGCAGTGCACTCTAGCGAGCTGGAGAATCAAGTCCTGTGACCACAGAAACCAGTGACGGATATCTGTTGGCAAACGCTTGGAGGGGTTCACCCTTTTTTTTTTGCTCTCCATTTAAGGCGGCTGGGAATCGAAACGTGTCTTGTGTCAGAGGCAGCTCCTGACCAGAGGAAAAGCTCTCGGCACGAACACGACTGATCCTCTCTCCCCTCAGAAGCTTTTTCGGGGTCTCAGCAGAGGGGCTGAGAACTTTAACAACCTCCTCAAGCTGGGGCACCACCAAACCTACTAAGAAAATGCATTTTAAACTAAGGGACAGCAGCAGAGAAGGGTGAAATGTTTAGCAGGCGGGCTGTATTTTAGAGATACTTCTGTTTTGTTAGCTCGAAAGTCACGTCGTAGCGCTCACATGGCTCCCAGTAACCGTACTCCAGCACAGCTGCAAAACACATATCCTACCACCTAACAGAATCACCGAAACATGTTTGTTAAGCTCACCTAAATAGTCTTTCGGGCTTTGTTGGTTTGTTTTTTGTTTTTTTGTTTCCTAATTGTAGGTTCTGGGTTTCTGTTTAAGATAACGGGCCTCATTAATTTCCCTGTTTCTTGCAGAAGAAATACCATTCTGGGCAGAAGGAATACTGCTGTCACCAGACAGAAAGCCTACAGGAGGAAGTAATTTCAAAGTAATTTCCTGTTCACAGGAAAAAGGTGAACAGTGACAGTGTTTAGAGACCATGAAGAGAAAGATCCATGTAACCACATCTCTTCATCTTTAAACTTACCGATGGGTACAAACGGCGTCTCCTTAAATTTTCTTAACAGCTTCGATGTCTGGCTGGTGTCAGTCTCATACTCGGGAAAAACGGATTCCTGACCGGATGACATGGTGGCTGCGAAGACAAAGAGTCTCTCTTCAGGTTTTAGAAACACCACGTTAACAGAACTTTTAAGGAAAGGAAGAAAAAAGTCCCTCGTGTACTCCGCCAGTCACAAGCGTCCAAGCAGTCAGTCACAAGCACAGGAGCTAGACTCGAGCTGACAAGCTACATACAGGTGATTTAATTCAAGTGAAGTCTTGGGAAGCAAGGTCCTTGCATACTAGAACAGGTAAGGACAGGGGAAAAAAAAAGAAAGAAAAAAAAAAAAGGAAGTAGCAAAGCAACAAGTTTCTGCCATCCCTTTTCACACCATTACAGATCCCAGCGGCCCCCCACACGCTCACGGGCAGCGAGAAGCCGCTGAAGGCTTTGGTCCCTGCCTGCGCTTCCTTTTAGGACTTCCATCGTCCGCCGCACTGCTTTGCCGTCACAGGCTGTTCCTTAGTAGCACCTCTGACCTCAGAAAAGTTCATTCCTCCTCTTTCGCTCCCTGCCAAGAACAGGAACCGAAGCGCTCACGGTTGGAAAGCACGAGCCGCTGCGGAGGGTCAGCCCTACCTGGCAGCTCGTCAGTCACTACTACGGCCTGTCCCACCTCGTTCACCACTTCAACAGAGTTTCACACTCCTGCTGGAGAACACAGAGCGCAAACCGGCGGCGGCTGAGGAGCCGGAGCGAGTCCTGAAGCCCTCGATAGCCACAGGCTGATGTGGGGACGCATCAGGAAGGCGAGCAGAGTTTCCGTTGCAGCACAGGTGATTTCTCACCCGAAGCAGCAGCGGCAGGGAGAAGGGCTCTACTCCCTGAGCCACCATCGCCCAACCGGTGAGACCACCCGCCAAAACTTGCCAAGAAACTTGCCAGCTTGTCGCGCTGTCCCCATCACAGATTACGCCAAGACCTGTTCCTTCTTCAGTGCCGCGCATGAGCATCGTTCCTCAGCCAGCGCCCATTTCTGCTAGCCCCGTTAGCTCAGCAACACCACGGAGGTCTCTGCTAGAAAAATCTCTGCCGGCGGCGTTCCCGTTTTGCCGCCAGCACGCCTAGCAGCAAAATACAGCTCGGCCTCACGTGGAAGTGCTCCAAGCTCTCGAAATGAGCCAACGGGAATTTAATTTAAGCACGGGCCAGTAAACACGCGCAAGCGATACATTTCAAGCGTGGCCGTGTCCCCTGGTTACGCGGCATTCTGTGCGCATCCATTCCGGCAGGCTGACTGTTTTTTCGAACTAAAGGTGCAAACCATTTCCTCTGCAGGCCGGAGGATTTGGTCTCTCTGCACCTGCAGCAGTTACCCTTATCTGCTAAATACGCGTTATGCTTTAGCGTGACTCATTCGGAGGAGGAAACAGGGGAGCACCCCGTCGCTCGGGAGAGGTGGATGGAGACAGCCGGCGGCGAGATTTACGCGAGAAAAGGGTATGGAGAAGCGAATCCGTTTGCCCAGCGTAAGAGCT